CCAACAATATTCAACAAAACTTCTTCATTTTTAACAGATCTCTTAATGAGCATCATCTTACAGAAAACCACCAACAAATAAATATATGAAAACAATTGCTTTTGACATCACAATGGTTAAACACATTAAATAATTCATTAAATTGTGCTTTACATCAATGAAAATCCCTAGGTCTACAAACTATCTTGTAAATAGGAATAAAAGTAGATATGGTTACTCACAATACAATCTCTTAGTAGCAGAGTTCACACACATTATTGCACATAAACAGAAGGAAAATTCCTAAAGAATGAAGTAATTTACAGCCTATTAATTTACCTTTTCATCTTAAATATGGCAACTGATGGGAACTCTTGATTTTTTTTTTTTTTTCACTTCCAACATTTATTTGAAATCACAGAGCTAGTGATAGGGCCAAGAAGAAAGCCAAGGACATTGTAGGCTATGGAACCCATTTCCCTCCACAAACTATCAACAAAGGAAGTATTATAAGAACCAAACTGAAAGAAGTGTTTCAGTGCAAACTGGGTACCTTTTCCGAGTATGCTTTTGCCAGATGTAGGAAGGATACAGCAATCTGCTCCAGCAGAATGATTTTGTGGTGATTGTTCATCTTGTACAGAGTAGTCTCCACCAGCCTGAAAACACAATATTCCTTATCCCAGACAAAAAAAAAAATAGTAATTCCACATATATCAGGGGAACAGCAATGGAGGGAAAAAAAAAAGTGTCAGTGAGATAAGTTTTGTAACACCAGCGCTCAGAACAGATACAAGAACTGCAGGTGGGAAACAAGAACCCACTAGTGCAGAAAGAAGCATATGTTAATGAGAAGACCAACTTGAGAAACCTCCCAGTTTAGCAGTGGACATCAAATCTGACACACCTCCAGATGCAAAGGTGATGTGACCTGCCATTTGGTTTGGTTGAATGGATATGCTGTAGTTAGGAAGTTTGGCTCTGGATCTGACTTCCATCACTTTTTTTTTGTTCTGTACTTCTGTTTTTAGTGAACTGCAAATAACTACTGCATATTGAGTAGAACCCCTAACAAGGCTATCACAGCCTCACAATTGCAGTGAAGAATACCCAACATCAGAAACAGTGTTTCTCCCAGGATGAAAAAGCTTTTTATTGTTAGCACTGATAAGTGGTGAAGAGAGGACAAATTTTCATTCCTTAATAAAGTATGGCCCATAGGCAATAGGCTGAGTTCTTGGACTAGACATGGCACTACCAGGAATAAGTTTTAATGACACAGCATGTTCCTCTGTCTGCTTCAAGCCTACAGTGAATTATAACTGTAAAAGGCATCCAGTGCTGAGGATGTGATGGCAGAGATTAGCAAGTACATCTCCATTACAAAAGAATGAGATTTGTTTCAGCACCACAGAAGCAGAAGCCAAATTGCCTTGTTTAAGCAACAAAATAATGCCAGGAAGATGGACAGAAATCCTATAGCGTTGTTGCTCATGAAGGTTTTGAAAGAAATACACTGCACTCCAATCTTTTATGAGTCAGTGTAATTACAGTGAAGTCCATGCTGTCAGAGCAACAAAACCCTGCAGTAACAGAGATATGAACCAAGGCCTTTATTTTGCTTTTGCATTACACTATTTTGGTCTCAGGGCCCAAGAGGAAAAAAGCTGCAGGCCTGTGTCTTAGAAATCAGCCTGAAAGTATTTCCAAACTGCTTTATTTGTCATGTGCTAGGAAATTCTGCTAAGAAAAACGGTATTATTGGCGCAGTGAGTTTGCTGGATCTACTGCTGGGGAAGGAGGTGCTGGGTCCTTCAGTCCCAGGGGCTCTGGGCACGATCTCAGCCGCTGGCTGCCCCCACTTCAACTACTCCTGCACAACCAAGGCTATCAGCTACACAGGCTCCAGGGGGGAAAAAAAACAACAAACCAACTTCAATTTTAACTAAATCCTAAGTGTTAAGGCAAATCCCGTTAACATAGATGCTACAGCACATTAACAGCTCTTCAGGACCCTAATCTTGTCTCCAGGGAAATGACTGAGAAAAAGGTTAGGCATTACATTAAGGTATTGCCAAACTATTAAAGCTAATGTAAACTGCCCAGACTGCTTTGATTTTCCTCATTAGGCTTTGCTTTGTGTCAGGCAGAAGGAATAGTCTGGAGAACGGTTAGACAGCTGAAACTGATACTTACAGTCACTGGTGAGGCTCCAGGGAACCATTTCTGAGCTCTGTCTCCTCTCTCCTGAAAAGATAACACTGCATTTTCTAAATGAAAAACGAGGTTCCCATTGCTGTGAGTGGTGCAGAGAGGCAGCTCGCTGGGGAGAGAGGTAGGGATGCGAGGAAGGGGACCCTTTTTCGTGCTTAGGAGGAAAAAGAAGGGATACTTTAGAACAAAAGATGGGCTGGGACTGATTCTATTTCCTTGCTTATCTTCCTCCTTAATGTGAATTTGGCCTTGCATCTCTCCTCCCATGGGGCTGGCTTCTCCCCTGCGCAGCCCCACCTCCTCCCAAGTCCCACAGCCTGCCTGCCCACCTTGCCTCTGCCTCTGCTGGGTGGCCCTTTGGGGTCCCCCCAGAACCTCTAGCCCCCTGTGCTCATGGAAACAAGCAGCGCAACTACAAATCCTGGATATAGAGTATCAGGTGCCAAAGGCATCCTTCCACTCTCTTCCTGTGCAGTTTGCAGCAAGATGCAGCAATGGGACTGGGAATGGGGAGATGCAACAGCTCCCCATCATCCCTGTATCACCAGCCAGAAAGCTTCTTCCCTCTGCAGGGCCAGGGCCAGCCCAGACTGAAGCCCTGGTGCCAGCGGGTGAGATGTCAGATCACTGCGAATTACTTGCACTGCACCAAAGGTGCAATAGCACCGTTCAGGCTTAGCTCTTCATGGCCTTGCCATCCTGCAGCCAGGACACCCAGAGTGAGCCTCAGTCCCAGACTGTAAATATTTCAACTTAAATCACTGAAGGCAGGTGTCCATACATGAGTGAGGTGTCTGAGCACCTCTTCCAGGCGATGGGGACCCAAGCAGTACTGTCTGGGGAGTCTAGAGAGCTCTTCACTCTTCTCTAAGGCAGATATCCCATGCTCAGGCAGGAGAATAACAATCTACAGTCCCGTATTTTCCCTTCTGAATGTGGAGATGGGAGGAGATATACGTGATCCACCAGTGGAACAGGTATTAGGGACCAAACCCCATCGCTACTCACTCCAGAAGTAGCGCATTGACAATCAGGTGTGAGCAGCATATTGCTAATAAGCTACATTGATAATGAGGCATCATCCTGGTAGCCCTCTTCACTTCTTAATAGCCATAATGATGTTCCATGCTTAGTGTATTATTGTACACATTAACTCTCAACAGGATCACTAGATCATATTTTTGATATTGTGCATAGATAAGTAGCAACAGCATTGTTGGAAAAAAAGAAGATACAGCATGCACTAAAAAAATCACTTGGAAATGAAAAGACAAATTTTCAAATTCAGCCTCTTTTTTTCTGTAACATTATTTTTTTAACTGACTGGATAAAAACCTTGGATTTTGAAAATAAATGAGAAATGTGCATCCACATCAGGTACTCCAGTACTTCTAATTAGCAAATCTGTAAGGTAAAAGCCATTCATGCATGCAATAATATACTTTCAGCATCTCGATTTAGCAGCCACATTGAGGCACTTAGAGAAATTTCCTCCTAATGCTTTACATTTATGCTAGAAGAAGAAGGAAAAAAACTCTCTCAAAAGAGCTATGGTGCACAGGGCCCTCTTTTTAAAATTTCACTACTACAAATGGAACAACATAAAATCTTGGAATAAGTAGATGCAGTTTAGCCACAAGAATGTAACACGTGGAGGAAGAACCCACTGAACCTTTTTTCTAGACAAGGAAGAAAACCAGATACAGATCTCTTATCATGAAAACAATAAATTTACAAAGAATCTTCATACAGAGTAATAAATATCAAGACTTTGCACATATCCATTACATATCCTACAAAAATGAAAGCTGATTTTTTTTTCTAGCCACTACTGTAGTTAGAGAGAAAACCAATTTAAATTGTATTCACTTGGCATCATTGTATTTTAACAGACAATATCATAAACCTGCCTACCTTTACAGACAATCTATCTCCAGGCTTTTACAGCAAATCTGGAAAATGTCACACTAATATTTAAGCTTTTCCTGCTCTCTTGTTCCTCTTCCCTGTAGTTTGCTTGGCCCCTCTTCACCTTTTGTGAATGTGAAGGCTGATTTCATTCCTTCCAGCCAGATAATCTCCATGACGTGTGCCCAGCTGCCATGCGGACCTCATTTCTCAAGGCTTGCACTTTGCCACACGCACTCAGAAAGATGGCTGCTACCTGGCTGGGTTCGGTACTCTGAACATCTGCAGAGAAATGAGCTAACCACTCCATCACTTCACTTACAAATCATCTCTGATTGCTGGCTAACAGAACAAAACAAGCAATGCCCCCATCACACATTTCCTAGGTCTTTTTGAATCACCTCAGCAAATTCTTCCCTTAATCAAACCACAGCATGTGGAAGCTTGAAGGGCAATGCGCTTTCCTCCATTCCGTTCACTAGAAAGCTACACACTACAGTTGCGAAGGACAGTATGAAATAAAACAGCTCTCATGTCACAAAGGAACCAAACCAGGTATATTTTTCCCAATTTTTCATTCATGTATGCACAAGTTCTGGTACCTCGGATTGTATAGAGTACACCTGTTAACGTAAAGGACATAGCTCTCTCTTCAACTCATCCTCATAGCTTAGGGCTTTGAAGGAAGTCTTTTTGGACAGGAATCTATTCTACTGCCATTTAATAACACTAATCAATACCTATTGAGAAAAAAATACATTCTCCTCACTGGCAGAAAACTGAGTCAAGGAGGGGTAGTTGCAGATGTGGTCTCATTTACCAAAGTGGTAGGCTAATTCCCAGGTAGCCAAGTTGCACAAACTCTGATCCTCTCATTGGTTAGTCAAGATGGAGAAGCATCACCACCTTGCAACCTGACTATTATAATCTTCAGTAACAGCTACTTCTGCTGCCTCTTCCCTCGGCCACTGGTGAGCTCTCTGCTCCCGCAGCAGCCGGCGCTCCTCTCGCCTCTTTAGCCGGTTCTTCTGATGCTCCTCTTGCTTGGAGTACTGGAAGCGCTGCAGAAACAGGTCCTTCGCATATTCATACAGCTGCATGTCCAAGAAATTCAGTTCCTCTATCCGCTGCCGCACATCCTCACCGATGTCCACATTGGAGGCTCGCGTAACATTGAACTGGGTGAATGGGGAAATGAATTTCAGGTTGAATGTCCTCTCAAAGAGATACTGCGTTTTCCTCTGAAATTCTGTGAGCCCAAAGAAGGCCATATTTTTCAGATTGTTCTTGGCGCTTTGGAGAAGAATCATATTTCTTTCACTCTCATTCATAAAAGTCAAGTTGTAGCATCCCACCAGGCTGAGGTCTGCCAGCATGCGCACCTGGCGGTTGTTGGCCAAGTTGTAGCTACAATCCATGAATTCCTGTAAACCGACTCCAGACCAGTCGTCTCCTTCGTAACAGGTAGGCAGCTCGTCTGGTGTTGGGCTTCTTCCATCGCACATATGAAGGGAAGTTTTCCATGTCGCACCCCTCTGGACATGCTTCCATTCACTCAAGTACCGTGACACTGGATCCCTCAGCATGGTGATGTAATAGAAGTTCCTGAAACACATCATTAAAACCAGTTTTAAGATTCAGTGGATTTCACTTTTTTGTTCTCCAATAAAACAATTACCAGCCACAGCCACCACCCCCTTCACTTTTTCTGGTGTAATGCAGGCACTTCAAGGGACTACTTCTGAAATAGTAAAAAGCTTAAAGCTTCATAAATACTGGGAATAAAAGACAAGGTATATTGGGAGAAAGAGAGAGATATGAAAGAAATAAGCTGTTATCAGAGAAACAGAATTACTTTGACCTATCAACTGTTCAGCGGTAGATACTCTATGTAGAACCCAATTAACTGGAGTATACTCCCCTCTACTTTGAAATGCTAACCTTCAGTAATATCAGAAACAGTGAGAAAAGAGATTTATATAATCTTGCCACTTCTTTTCTGGACTGAGATATGCATGTCTCACAAGATGCACAAGACGATAATCCATACAGTGCTTGGTCAGAATATGAGAAGCATGAGCAATTTCATGTGGATGCTGCAAGTGCTAAAAATAACACCATGTGGAAGACTGGCATGAGCCACCTACTTAAGAAGAACTCTGTCATTAAGTGGGTTGGAGTGAAGATAATGACAGACCCAAAATCCATTCATATGACTTAATTTTAGACAAGTTCTTGATTGAAATTAGTTATAATTGTATAGTACAAAAGCATTTGTTTATATAAAGATTACCATTATTCAGCCTCACCTATCAAGAACACAAAAGAGACACCAAGAAATATTGATTTGAAATGGAGCAAATAACTGCAGAACTCACATTGTCAGTTCATCTTTTAGCTATTGAATTCAGTTTGTACTTCTATTCATGGCAATCTGAAATGGACTGCAATTGAGTAGGCTTCAAGCTGGCTCTCACAAATTGAGGGTTATTTACTGAGAAATGTTTTATTCAATAACAACTCACCTGAATTACAGGATGATATCATAAAGGCGAAGCAAAACCAAAATACTTATGATTTCTGTCAGCTAGAATAACCAGCAGAAGATTCATGACTAAAATTAACACACAGCCTGGTACAGAAATAGGCTCGTGAGTTTGCATAACTCATCTGACTGCAAACAATACATTAATAAATCATGAGTCCTAAGATTTCTTAAGAAAGTCTGATCTCAGTACTCTTTCCTGATCCTACAGAAGGATGAAGCAAGTAAGCAGGAGGCAAGCTTCCTGAAGACAAGTTACCCTGTAAACAAACCAACACTTTCTGAGGGCCATCTCATACAAAAGCTAACTCCAAGTAAATGAAAAATCTCCAGATCGGTAACAATCTCCAAGGCAATTGCCTTTCTTTTTCAGATATCACTCATTTTCTGCCGCTAAAGATTCCCTGTAACTTCTCCATAAACCTCAGCTTCATCATAAAAATAGATATTTCCTCACATATTTCTAAAAACGCAGATATATTCCCCAGTGCAGACAAAGCAAAAAGAAACATGGCTGAACCCCTTGTCCTTATACATTCATAGTTTTCCACCTACAGAATCTATAATGTATTTCCTGGAATAAGGTTATGAGGCCAAACTACGGACTATGTTCTGCTGCAGGATCATTTCTTACTACTATCTAACAGAAACATCGCTTTCAATAATTATTTCACATCAGAAGGGTTACAGGTGGAAGGATATAAACTAGGGAGTGTCATGGATGTATTTTCATTATCACTTGCGTTGGAAGCCATGATTTGCCGTAGCATCAGATGATACTCCGAAGGACGGTATTTCCAAAATCATTTGGAGCTTGGGTTTTCTGGCTGCTGCTCACACATGATCAAACTACACTTCAGCTGTTTTGATCCATTTCAGTAACTTACACAGCCCACATCAAGAGTGAACCCAAGGATCATGCAAACATCCATAAGCAGATATTTCTAAAATCCCTCTTCACTACTCCTGCAGAGTAGGAAGGACCAGAAATCCTCCTGTGTGCTCTGCAGTATAGCTCCACTGTGAAAAGCACTGTCTTTAAGCACTTCAAGCACAGCTTTCCCCACTCAAACTGGATGCTCATCTCATCTTGGCTCTACCTTGCATGTATGAGAGGACATTAAGAACTGCTTTCCAACTAACAGGCCAAAAAGTGGACATATTTCACTAGTGTGCAGATAAAGAAGCCCAACTCTCAAACACCCACCAGCTCTGAGCGTAAGACATCATTGTTGCAACATCCAGCAGGTACCCATAGGGCTGTGACAGAAAATGATTGAAGCTCCAAGGGAGCAGAAATGAAAAAAAAAATGGACAAAGATTCAGAGGCAGTTGCCAACATATATAGCGAATGAGACATGGCATTGGCCATGTATTGCTGCCCCTCCCCTCTTCAGATAATTTTGGATGCTGATATGTGGTAACAGATGGATTTAAAACTTGCTCTTGACAATCATATAGACCTCTAATAATAGTTCTGTCTTTCCTCACCCATCTCCAGCAGTCCCAGTCAGTCATGAACTCAGGGCAACAACAATTAACAACAATACCTGCTTTGCATCAATCATTTCCATTTCATCCCTGGATATGTAAATGTGTTTAATGTGCAATAAACAGGAGTACAAAGCAAATGCAGGGAAATGAGAACAGCATGTCTTTGTATAATATCCGCAGCTTCCTTTATTCAGACTGGGTGAGAAACTTTCGCCAGTCTGTTACTGCTTCTCCTTGTGACTACCTGACTTCCGCATCTGTTTTCACTATCCTGGTTAATTTGCTTCTGGTTTGTGCATTTTTCAGGGTGTTGCCTTCTTGCTTTGTCAACTGAATGGCCTCTTCATCTGTCAGGCAACCTCTAATAGCAGCCTGATACACATTCAGTTCCCGAGGCACTATTAACACAGTGCAACCATCCCTGCTGCATTCACAGTTTACAGCCTTCTGTTTAACCTTCTGTTCGTGACTCCCTGTCACCCTTTTAACCAATCTGAGGTTGGAACACCTTAAGATTTTTTCCACCCGACCATGGGCACTGTCCAGATGACACTGTTACAATGCTACACAGAGGACTGGGGGATGCTGCCCAGCAGTCGTGGCACAAATTTTTCTTTCAGGGAAAAGGATGTAATGTCTCTAGAACAATGGCAGAAGTCAAAAACCATTAGTCATGCACATTTGTTGCAATTGGAAAATTAGAAAAATTATCTTAGGAAATTTTTTTCAAGTTTTGACATTTATGGATTAAATATAGCAGCATTTCAGATC